AGATCTTTGCACTTCAGAACCCTTTTCTTTTTTCTCTCCAATTTTCTTTTTTTTTTTTTTTTCTGTTTCAAGCTTTCTCAATTGTGTCTCATGTTACATCCTTTTCAAATGAATTTATGTGATGAAAAATTAAAACTTTGGGTCTGAAATGGACAGTCTGATTCTTCTGATTCTGAATAGTTTATTTGTTCATATACAAAAATATGATTGAGGTCATATGCATGAGAGAGAGAGAGAGAGAGAGAGAGGACAGTGTGTGTGTGTGTTTTTGTGTCTTGTTTGAAACAGACAGAGAGAGAGAGCAATGATTTTGTAGGAAAAATACAAAGTTGGTCCCTTGGAGAGCTCAAAAACCCTTAGCCTGGGAGGTGAGAGGGTTTTTGTTTAATTGATAAGCATGGAGAATCAGAAGATGTAAGCTGGTTGTGTTGTGGTTTGAGGGTCTCACAGGGGGGCCTGCACGGCAAATAGGGTTTCTGAGAGTCCCATTGCTATCACTACTGGCCTACTATCAGAAGGGGCATAGTGTGCATGTAGGTCGGTGTGTCCGGGGAAACCAAACAAGAATGTTTTGGTTTGCTTTGTCTGTGAGTTGTCAAATTTGTATGTGGTGTGTGCCCTACTTTTTTGAGTTTTTACTTCTATTTCTTTGTTTGGTTCTATGTGGTGTCTGCCCTACTTTTGCATGCTTCAAATTTTTCTTTTATATTTTCTACTTTTTACAACAAACTACTTATACTATAAGTTTTAATTTACTTGTTGTTTGTGTCAATTTAGACTTAAGCTAAATGCCACATATCTCCTATCCATGTTTATACCCTATAATCTCTTAATTAATTATTTAACTTTTAATAATAATTTTTATTGTTTTAGGTACAATTTAATTTTATCAAATCCAAAGCTCCTAGTGTAAATTTGACATATAGGAGGATTATGTATAAGCAATTACCTAAAAGATTTGTAGTATATGGATAAATTTTGGTGTCTTATTTCAATAAAACTATTTACTTTGTAATTATTACAAATGATTTTATCCAAATCGTTCACGTCAACACATATGAGTAGGAGTATCCTATACAATAAATTTGTATAAGATAGGACTATAAAATATGTAATATCTCTTTGTAAATCTGTTAATTGAGAACATTTCACAAGATGACCCTACTATGACTCAATCTTAATTTTAAGTGAGTTATGAATTTAGATGTGAAGGCTTGTTCTTTGATTTGCATATGGGTGAGAATAACTTTTATGACTGATTTAATATGTCAACCAATCAGGCAACATACAAAATAGAAAACTGAGAACATAATCTTATGAGATAGAATTCGAAAAAATAGACGAGTAATTTCATTAAGTTCTGATTACGAATTGAACATGGGTCTTACTATTTATCTAGTTCGAGAGAGATTTAGTTTATGATTGAATCATAAACAAATTACTTAAGTTGAAAGATGCAATTAATGGGATAAAATGAACTTTTGACTCAACTGTAATTGCGAACAATTCGAAAATGATTGACTTGCTTGTAATGATTATATCAATGGGTACACCTAGTCCAATGTGCATAATAATGCAACTCTAAATCTACTGTGAACTGATGAATAGTTAATGAATAAAAATTGATTAATTAAAAAGTTTGATGAATTAATTTTGTATTATTTAAATATTTAATCTATAGGTACATAAAGTTGATTGGCTAACTCATTAGTAATGCTAAAATGATCCATTTAGTTGAAATAAAATTTTGAAGGGTTAAAATTAATTTTTAATATATTAAATATAAAAAAATATATATGTATATTTAATTTGAAGTGTTCCAACTAATATTTAATATAAAGAAAAATATATTTGAAAGGTTAATATTTAATAATATTAAAAGTAAAAAACTACATTTATTTTATTTCGTATATTAAATATTAAAATAATTAATATATATTAAATATATTAATATATATTTGAAATATGAATGAATTTTAAATTAGTTAAATATATGTTGTGATATTTAAATGTAATATTTTATTCTAATATTATATATTCATATACGTCATCCTGTAACATCGTCACATCATTATATAATGTCATCACATCATCATATAATGTCATCACATCATCATATAACATAAAGCATGAATGACATGTGCGAGGGCCACTAGGCATATGTCATCATACATAAGATAAGTCTTTGGACGGAGCTGATTGTAAGACCACTTACTTGGTTGGCTTTAGTCGAAGTTCTATCTAATTCCGAATTTACTTGCTTTCATCCTTCGAATTCGTTCTCACTTACATTGAAATTTTACCTATTTTGAATATAAATTTAATTACCTCATTAAAAATCGAATTTCATGTTATCATTGTTTCTAAATTATGTTTGGTAGTAAAATTTAAATTAAAAAATTCGTCAATATTAGTTCATGCGCCCATGTTTAACCAATTTTAATTGGCTTTCTAAAAGATGGCTACTAACTTCCTGTAACATGTTGGTATTTAATTTAATTTCTACCTAAATAAATACAACCAAATTAAGATTAAGGAAGGTTCTAGGTTCTACTAGTCCATGTTTCTCCCCCCTCTTATTTTTCTCCTATTTTGTTCACAATTATTTCTGGCCAATTTTAATTGGTTTTCCAAAAATAGCTACGGACTTCATGTAACATCAACCAAATTAAAATAAAAATAAAGGGAAAGAAAATCTAAGAAATAACTCTATGTGATTTTATAAAACATAGGATCATTTTGTTACAATTTTTTTTTTAATTAACGGTACGTTACATCTTAATACGCTAGTTGAAGATCTTAGGCAAGAAAGATATTAGCTTAGTCAAGTACGGAGACAAGACCATCACACAGAAGAGGTCATGTGAGAGCGAGAAAATAAGATAAATAAAAATATCCCGAGATGACAGAGGATTTAACGGGATTCAAAAAAAAAGTTGTAACGTCCCTCAATCCCACATCTCTCGTTCTTAGAGTATCATTTGCATGTGTTTACATTTTTGCATGACCCCCCTGTAATGGAGTCACTTAGTTTTCTTCAAAATACTCAGGCTGTGTGCCACATCATTTTTTTTCAGGTAAAGGCAAGGCGCTTATATACAGTTGACGGCGGCGACATCGCAAGCAGAGACCAAGCCACGTGCATCGAATAGAAATATATTTGAATTCTTAGATTTATGTTAGAATAGGTTGTCTTGCCTTTCATATTTTTAAATTATGTCATATTTGTTATAATTGCATTTTTCAGTATTATGTGTTGAACACGTAAGACCATGACGGTATTTTCAAAGATGAAGTTGTTTTTAATATTCTTTGAATTTTATGCTATAAATGATGTCGTTTTATGAGTCATATTCCACATATGAGCGTAGCATGAGACGTTAGTACTAACTCTAAGTATATAGAAATTGAGTGTCGTTACAAAAAAAAAAAAAAACAAACTTGGACCTTGACTAAAAAACAAAGACAAAAGCAATATAAAATAAAAGTAAATAAAATAAAATATAAGCATAGAGTAAAAATAAATCAGACCAAAGCAAACAAGGTTACTATTAAATACGGTTGAGAATGAAAAATAGAAGTGAGATTAAAAGTCCAATCTTCATTAATGTTTACAAGGGGATCAAAAGTCCCATCTTCATTAAAATGGTTGGTTAAACCGGATACAATCTACCAATTAAATCCTAAGAATATAATAAAATATATTACTAATCAATTTCTTAAAAATAAGATCAAATGTACTCTCAACAAATTACTAGAGATAAGAGAAAAATCCGATTACAATCATGTAAAATATATTCCACAACTAACTCTATATCTTAAATCAAATTTCATAATACTCCCCTCAAGTTCGAGAATGTATGTCAATAGATGTTTTTCAAAAAATAAAATTGTTGTCTTCTTAGTGAAAACATCTAGCAAGTTAACTCTCTACCAGTTGGGATCTGGACACATTGGTTTGCTTTTTAGACTTCCAATAAATAATTGAATTTCACACGAAGATGCAAAACTCAGAAATAAACCACTTTGATGTATCTTAGAACTCAAAGAGTTGCCTTCCAACGTGGTTTTCTTGATTCATATATAAATGACTTATTTCAAGATTGATAATTTGTCCCATTTAATTTAATTGGAACAAATGAATATCCTTGATCGTTTATTGGTGAATGTAATAATGATATGTTAAATCAACATCCAAAATTTTGAATCTGGATTTGGCTCATTCCGCCAAAAAGAAAATTTTGATATTTAAGAACACCAAGATTGATGTTCCCCTTAATGACTTGAGAGGTTTATACGCATGGGCTACTCTAAACATCAAGTTTTTTATTCCTTTAAAGAAGTTTAAGAGGATAACCCGAACAAGGATATCTCATCACTTTGGCCAGTAGTCTTATGTTGTCTTCGTGAAAATCTTGTTTACGGTCAAGTAGAAGTAGTTGGAAGGGAAAATAGGTTGACAGGTTTTTCTAATGAGGGGCATGAGGCAAAGATCGTTGTCAGTGATAATGGATGGAGCGAGATCTTTAAACTTAAGAGCTTGCTCATCATTTAATTATTCCATCATTGAATCTTGTAAAGATGTTCGTGAAAGAAAATATGAACATCTTGAGCATGTCACCTTTGAGCTTTGGTGAGAAATTTGAAGATGCTTATTGTTAGTGAAAGAGGGATTTATTGAATGGTAGATGAGATGATTGAATTATGAAGAGCTCTATATATATACCGAGAATACAAAAAGATATTTCGAAAATCTACCTAAGAATCTGCAGAAAATCTGGTAACACTAAACAAATCAAAACTAAATCAAATCAAAACTAAATCAAATAAAAAACTAAATCTAACTCCTAACTCCTAACGGAGATATAGTTAGATACTAACTGAGAGCAATCTAAACAAATACGTGATCTTTAACACTTCTCCTTGTTTAGATGCTGTGAACTCCAAGCTTTTTTCTGAACACCCATCTTGCTCTAATTATCTTTCTGTTTAGAGGTCAATCAACCAACTCCCAGATTTTGTTTTTCTCGATCACCGAAAGCTCCTCCTCTGACAGGTGCATCATCAACCAAAGCATCTTGTCGTTCATCTTCAGAATCTTTTTGTCGTTCATCTTCAGACTCTTCTAACATGCAACCAAAGGTTAAAATGTTTGGTGCATTAGAAATCTGATTCACCTTCGTCAGTTCTTCCCAATTCCATTGTTTATTTTCAGCAAAATGAACATCTCGACTCACAATAACACGACTAGTATGTGGTTGAAAAACTCTGTAAGCTTTGGATATAGTGCTATACCCAACAAAGATGCCAACTTCTGACTTTTTGTCAAGCTTATCACGCTTGACCTGTGGAATGTACGTGAAGCAAAGACACCCAAATACTCTAACGAACTTTAAAGAAGGTTTGTAACCATACCAAACTTCAAATGGTGTCAGGTCCTTCACATCTTTTGTTGAAATTCGATTTTGCAAGCACACAACAGTGTTTGCTGCTTTTCCCCAAAAACGTTTTGGAAGATCCTTCTCATGAAGCATGCATCTCGTCATCTCCATAATGAATCTATTCCTCCTTTCACTGACGTCATTCTGTTGAGGAGTGTATGATGCTGTCAATTGATGTTCAATTCCAGCCTCTTCACAAAACCTGTTAAAAGTTTCTAAAGTGTACTCCTTGCTATTATCTGATCTTATAGTCTGAATCAAGCATACACTATCATTCTCAACTTTGGCTTTGAATTTCCAAAATACACCCGCAACTTCTGACTTTTGCTTCAGCAAGAATATCCAACACATTCTTGTTAGTTCATTAATAAAAGCAATGTAATAAAGATTACCATTTAATGACGGTGTTCGCTGAGGACCACAAAGATCAGTATGAACCAGTTGCAGTTTTTTCGAGGCTCTCCATGCCTGTTTAGGAAAGGGTTGCCTATGTTGCTTCCCAAGATTACAAGCATGGTAAGGAGGCATGTCATCATCAATGTTACCTTTTACCAGCTTCTTTGACTGCATCTGAAGCAAACCTCGATGATGAATGTGTCTAAGTCTTTTGTGCCAAATCTCAGTGGCAAATTCTGGATATAAAGGCCGTCGGATTTAGAGCAAAACTTTTTCCTTTCATTTTGACATTAAACAAGTCTTTTTCACTAGTATCTTTGATCCTGCTTATTCTCAAACAATACTTTATAGCCTTTATTAAGTAATTGACCAACGCTCAAGAGATTTTGATCAATTTTAGGCACAAATAAAACATCTGGAATAAATTTTGTACCTTCATAGCTTGTTATAGCTACTGTGTCTTTCCCCTTGACTTCCAAGTGTTCACCATTGCCAATCCTCACTCTCTTGAGTTCAGTGTCTCTTAATTCCTCAAAGGACTCCTTGTCATATGTCATATGATTTGTGCACCCACTGTCAATCAACCAGCTCTCGCTTGATTCTTTGCTTGAGGAAGAAGTGACCATACACAATTGATCTTCTTCTTCTTCTTGATCAACTACTTGTGCATCTACTTCTTTCACCAGATCTTTGACTTTGCAGATCACAGCTTCATGTCCAAGTTGATTGCATTTGGAGCAGAAGGCGTCAGGTCTTCTCCAACACTTATATGGTGGATGAGCTTTCTTCTCACAATGGCGGCAAAGTGGATAGGATTTTTTGAAACCTCCTCCTTTTGTCTTTTGATAATTGATAGATGAATCTCCATATGTCAATTGATTTTTGAAATTTTTGTTGTTTTTATACCTGCTGTTGTCTTGATGCTTAACACGTAAGGCACCTTCGATCACCCCTTCTTGCCTCATAGACCTCTTTTGCTCTTGTGCTTGTAAAGCATTCAAGAGCTCTGTAAGAGAAATCTTTGACAAGTCTTTGGTGTTCTCCAGAGTAGTAATGGTCGCTTCAAACTTCTCTGGAACAGTGACTAGCAGCTTTTCAACGATCCTGGAATCATTCAATATAGAACCAAGCAATCTCACCTTGTTGGCGATGTTGAGAAGTCTGTTAGAGTACTCTTTCACCGATTCAGACTTCTTCATCTTCTGCAACTCGAAATCCCTAATCAAATTTAGGGCTTTCATTCCACGAATCCTCTCATCTCCTTCATATTCAGCCTTGAGATAATCCCATATTTCTTTTGTTGTTTTGAGGGACATTATTCGCATGAAGATCATTTCAGATACAGCGGCAAATAGGCAAGCTTTTGCCTTTGATTTCCTTGTCTTCTTTTCCTTCTGTAATTTGATTTGTGCTACAGTAGGATTTGCTGGAAGCGGAGGGACCTCGTAATCCTCTTCTATTGCTTCCCAAAGATCCAAGGCCTCCAAATAAGTCTCCATACGAACTGCCCACATTTGATAATTGTCTCCATCGAAGACTGGTGGTGCAACAGCTGAAAAACTTGATTCTCCCATTTTAATCTCACAGATCCCTTAAGAAGATAGCTCTAATACTAATTGTTAGTGAAAGAGGGATTTATTGAATGGTAGATGAGATGATTGAATTATGAAGAGCAAGAATGCTCTATATATATACCGAGAATACAAAAAGATATTTAGAAAATCTACCTAAGAATCTGCAGAAAATCTGGTAACAGTAAACAAATCAAAACAAAATCAAATCAAAACTAAATCTAACTCCTAACTCCTAACGGAGATATAGTTAGATACTAACTAAGAGCAATCTAAACAAATACGTGATCTTTAACACTTATAACGCAGTCTTGATATTGGACAATCGAAAATAGCTTGTCAACCACATTTCTATTTAGGAGAATGATTGAGAATATATATGTAGCTAATTCAAGACCCAGATTGAGATTAGAAGGCTGCCTCTTAGTGACGGAATCTTGATAGCTCGCCACAAACATCTTGATAATGAATATGTTCTTAATTTTATTGTTGAGAGGAAAAATATGGATGATTTGTTTTGAGATGTGGGCTTAAAACGATGATATATCTTGTGGAAAGTGATCCTAATTCGTTAGTCGTTCTCTCTTTCGATCTCTGTCACTTTTCTTCTGTTCTTCCCCTTCTCATGCTCTAAAATATTGCAGTCAAGGGAAGGTATAAGAGAATATGAAGTTAATTGCACTTAGGGTATGTTTGGATATGTTTGATTCTATATATATATTCAAATGCACCTTCATCCGTTATGGTCATATTACATTAAATTTTCATGCAACAACCTGCCACACACAAGAAATTTTTGGATGAGGAGACACAAATCTATTGTAGGGGATTTCCTAACTTGTCTAAAAATAAAAAAGAAATTAATGTGGAAAAGAGAAATAAAAAGAAAGGGAAAGGAAATTGCAACCTCGTATAACAAAAGGAAGGAAGAAACGCAGCAGAAACAGGAGGACAAAGGGTTCTGGTACATGCAAAAAGGGGTCTTAGCATGTGACTGGTTGGGCTGCATAGGCATTAGCTCAAAGATGTTCGTATAAGATCTATAATATCTTTTGAGATGCTATACTAACAATAAAGAAGAGCTTGAATTCAGCTATAAAGCAGGCCTCCGCAAGCCTGATATACTACAAACCTCTTCCAAAGTCCTTCAAACTCGAGGAAAAACAAATCAGCCAGCAATTCACCTACACACAGTGGCACCAAATAGAGCTGGAAGATACACCAAGACTCCTTCCTTGCCAACTCAAGATCTAAAAGAGGGGGAAAAGGGAGGGGGAAAAAAGGAACCATCCAGCACATGTAGAAAAATTATCTAATATAATATGTTTCTTCATCAACGTGATTCTTTAAAGCCATAATTTGATTAGAAGGAAAAAAATAAATAAATAAAGCTCAAATCGATAGTAAAAGTATTCATCAAAATTAAGGTAAGACTTCCGTTCATTATAATCCACCTTAGCAGAATTCACTTTACTCAACCCAGGCTTACACCATTAGTTGATTCATTTATTCTAATTACTAAGCATGAAATAGTCTAATGTGGTTTGAACATGAAAAGGTGATCAAATTTCAATCATGATATTATAGTAAATCTAGAAGTAATCTTGTCAATGATGACAAGTCTACACCAATTGTTGAACTTTTATGTTGCAGTAATTCTAACAGCAAATTTATCGGGGATGACATGTAAAAATTTTAATTCGAATGAGCGAGACATGTGGATTGTTGACTATCCAATAATAATTGCCTAAGAGCACGAATGACCTCTCTTCGGCCCTGCCCTAAATGAGAGAAAATAAATGATATAAAAATGAAATATAAGTAATGAAAGCAAAAGGAGGCGTGAAATCAAAGGGGTTGAAGAAAAGAAAGAGGTACCCTAATTCGTCAACTAATGAAAGCAAAAGGAAATGCAGACTCAGAAGAATAACTTAAAAGCAGAGGGGTGGATAAAAAAGTTCATATAAGTGAAACTTCCATCGAAGAATAGCAGCAAAAACTCAATAAACTCTCTAATATCTTAATCTCTTTACTTACTCTATTAACCATATACGATTAAGATATTAATTTCTCTATGTAAATCAGTATCCATAGAAAACTAAATTTTACAGGGGAGGCACGAGAGTTTTATGTAATTAAACATGTTGACTGGTGTGATTTCGATTCACGGAAGAGTTGCTATTAATAATTTACATGTTTGTTTAGCTACCTGTTTTATAAAAATGATGGTTTCTCTTGTTGGGAAGAAGAGTGCAGGAGGATCCTCTTTAATACTTTAGCTCTATTATAAGAATATTTAAAGGTAATTGAAGGGTTATGAACAATTCTTTTTCTACAACTGTATTAACAAAAAAAATTCAAAACGATTATGAAAGTAATCACTATGTATGACCTCGTAACAAAGCTTGAAAATCTGTTAAAAAGAGCTGAAACTCACCAAAAGTTTAACGACTTCTCTATTTGAACTCTCCTAGTCAAACCTCACTCATATTAATTTTCTCGTTTAAAACGGTTAAGTTTATTCTGCAATTTTTTTTTTTTTTTTTTTTTTTT